GCAGTTTCTAGGTTGGCAAGACAGGTATTATAAGTATTCTCCTCACACAGATGCAGTGGTACCTGAGAATCTGGTCACAGATTACAAATTTCTTGGCACATTTAGGATGATTCCTGGTTTTCTAAACAAAGGGTGATGGTCTGTGGAATGCTTTTTGTGTACTGTGGTTTGTAGGGTGCTACTCAAGGTGTGAATCATGGCATCTAGGAAGCTGATGTTAGTGCAGGAGTATTCCAAACAAAATTTGATAGACTAGTAGAACTTGTGGTGCAATCAGTAAGTGAGTCTAGGCATTTAGTCTGCATGATGAAAAGTTCATACAGATTCGATGGTGCAATTTTCCAAAAAAATTCTTCTTCAAGGTCACTCATAAATAGACTAACACATTTATGTGTATAGCTGTAAAAGCTGTGTGTGAGGATGAAGTGGATGATAGGTATAGTATGCTGTGGTTACAAATCTGAAGGTAGTTTATGTTCTTGCATGTATTTTCAGACAGGTAGCTGTACCTTCATTGTGTGGGATAGTAGGGTATATGCCACTGACATCCATGGTTTGCAAGTGTGGCTTTACTGGAGAGGTGGTTGACGTTCCAGATCTTCTTAAGAAAGTTTTTTGCATCCTGTAGAACACTCTCTCTCTGAGTGACAAGTGGCTTATATCACAGAGCTATTGTGCTACTAAAGATAATTTCTATGAATCCTGATGGTTCTTCAGTGAGTATGGTTCTTCAGTTTGGTATGATGCATCTGCCAGATATGCCTTGTTTGTGTATCTTCAGGAGCATGCCAAATGTTCCTGGGGTGGAAGAGTGGGGTATGAGTGAAACTGCTCAAAGAAACTATTGGATAATGTTTTTGAATTCAAGGGTTAACGCTGGTGTGGGGTCCTTCCCAAGTTCTATATAGTGGGTGGTATCAGAGTTGTCTGTTTGACTCAGTGATGTAGTCTTGGCAGCTGAGGATGACTATGGTTCCTCCTTTGGCTGTCTGCTTCCTCCACAGACTAGAAGAAAGGCACTTGTGTTCAAAAGCTTGCCTAACATCTCTCTCAACTATACAGTTGGCCAAATAAAAAGATACCACCAAAAAAGCACCCCCCAAAACCAACCAACCCCTCCCCTAAATACTTTGCTTCTCACATATTTCTTGGATTATTACAGCTACGGCACTCCAAATCTACTACAGGGAATTTATTGCTATTCAGTTCTGACTGGTGATGGAGGGTGGGGAAACGCACAAATCAGTCATTAGCTGCTAGTAAATGACCCATTTCCTGCCCCAGCTGTTTTATAATTACTGTTGAATGCTGAGAATTCTAACACACGGCCACTTCACTGAGCTACAGGGTGTTTTTTACCTATATGGAACGCTGCTATTATAAACCACTACACATAGTATACAATAGCACGAATCCTCCAAAAACTAGTCTTCATTGTAATAAATTACCAGTTTGAAAATACCCAATCACCACCAACTGCAGCATGAGCTAGTTAACAAAAATTAGCTGTCAAAAAAAACAGGTTTCCTAGGGATCGCTGCTTATTTCTGTAATGTCATCCCCTATCAATTATTTCTTGGGAGACAACTGATTCACTTTAATGCTTTACAACATACACAAAAAAATCCCCATCATTCTTATAGCTTTACAAACTCTTCTGTATTTCTCTTTGCTCTGGCACTGCAACATGAGAAGCTATGGGTATATCTGGAAAACAGGGCTATGTACAAAAATGTGTCAAATACCTAGCTATTTTCTCTCCAAATATTTTCCATTAGCACATTTTAGAAGAGAGAGAACTGAGACTCATAATTCTTATACTGTGAGCTGCTTTGCTGCTGTAGATTTCTGTGAGTCTAACTTCACCAGTCTCCCAAGGTTTTGCTAGCCCTGACAAACAGCTGGCTATACATCAGTCTTCTCCAGAATACTTAGCATAGGACATATGACTGGGCAAGAATTGCTGGGGTTACACAATTGCTGTATCCCAAATATCTCCAACTGCCATCACATCTATCTATGGATACAATTCAGAGCATAAATCCAACTTGTACTATGCCCATCAGGGTCCTGTGTCAACATTTTCAAATGTAAGATAAAAAAAATAGATTTACATATCTGATATAAAATAGCACTTCCCCCACACCAAAAAAAAAAAAAAAATTAAATTAAACCACAACACACAATGGAACAAAAGTGGTCTAAAAGCAGGCATAAAGACTATGGAAAAGAACCAGCCAATATATAAGCATCAGGAGGCAGAAAAGTGGAATGCACTCTGCCAACAGTAGATGCTTCAACAGAGCAGTGACAAATCTAGATGAGGGATATCTATAATGTTATTTGATTAAATGCTGCCAATAAATTATATAGTTTTATAGAACAGTTTTGATTTCTAATTAGAATTAAATATTAGAACTTATAACACACAATGATCATTATCTTATTAAACAAAAAAATCTTGAAGTCAGGATTAATTAAGACCTGCTTAAATTTCAGGAAAGAGACAAAGTGAATTTCACATATTTTGTTAAAAAGAGCAGGGGAAGGAGTTCACAGCTAGCATGGAAAGGGTATACAAAAATGCAGCGAACCTGCAGGCATCCTTTATGACTCCAACTTACTTCTATTTTATTTTACACTCCTTTAAGTTATTCATTTTACAAACATAAGTCCCCAAAATAGGGGAGAAAAATTATGTGTTCCGATACAAAGAGGTGTTCTCTCATTAAGACATCCTTCAAACCAACCTTCTAGATATTACAGGATAAATTAGATAACCCATTACTCTGATATAGTTCAAGAGTTAGATACTATATTGTGTAAAAGTTTGTATTCTATGTACCTATTTATTTCTAAATATTTATTTTGCAATAGAAGTGAGAAACTGAATCTTATTTCAACATTCAATACAAAGCTAGTGTAGAGAAGTACACTATAACTCTTGTGATATAATGTGCATGTATGTATAGAAAAAGCACAAAAATCTTGTTTACCCATTGTCACTTACTTTTTCATGAGCTCTGCAATTCTTTGGCATTCTTCCTTATCATAAAACCAAATCCCATAAATGGACACTGTAAATGCACATCAAACAAAACTATGAGCATCTACTCACACACAGTGCTTCTCCTGACAGTAATTCTAGCAGGAATGCACATTTAAAGGTGATCTGCAAAGGATTACTTTCTAAAACATTTGTTTCCTAACGAAACTACAGAAATGTTAACTTTAGTTTTCCTCTATTTTGTTGGACTGCATACTGGATGTCTCAGAAGATGCATACTGCTGCTCTACAAATGCACTGGGGAGACAGGAATGTAGAACCCTTTTCTTGACAATCTTAAGTTAAATGAGCATTAAGAAAAAGTAAAATTAGTTTCCTTCCCAAACTGCTTGACTTTCACTTGCTTTACTTTTGTCATTCCATTTTATTAGCTCTCCAGTTACCAGTGTGTTAGAGGTAGACAGAACATGAATTAGTAATTTAATAAAGAAGCAGAAAAAACACTTAAAAACAAAGCAACCTTTCAAAGCCCTTCTTCCAGTGTATATCAAAGTGTTAAAGAAGCACAAACCCTGTTTTCCCACTTTGCAGGTCACCTATAATGCTTGTTTGCCTCCCTCCACAGAAACAAGTATTTAGTAGATGGAATTAACTCCAGGACTAGAGAAATCTTTCAGCCTAGTCCAGAGATCTGACTTTTGTGAAAAAAGTGCCTGCAGCCTTTCCCAACAACATAATTTAAATGTATTCATAACAGAGTCCTTAAAACATCCAGACTTAAATCCTGCCTGCAGCACTAATGAAACCATGATTTCAGCAGTAGCTGTAATAGAGTTGTAGGTAATGCAGCTTCCTTGCTCAGTGTAAACAGGAAGTTTTTCCACTCAGAACCATTTTATATAATTGTATTACAGACTGGCTGTGGGGATAAATCTATAGTTCTGCTTGGCTGCCACATTCCCAGAGATAGGCTTCTGCCCACAGTGGTCAGGGTAACTGTGCATATTGTAACCTCATTACGATATGGTTACTGCTAGCATGACTTCAAGCACTGTAGGGACGGAGTCTTATGTGAAAAAGAGGTAAATGGATGCAGATGAGAGAATTTTAAAAACACTCGGATGGACTTGTTTTAAAAACTCAGCCAGGGATCCTGTAACTCATCCTGTATTGGTGACCTAATGCAATCACTCCTTTAATTCTAACTACTGTATCAATTTCTACAACTTCAGAGTGGAATGAACGTTTGGCATGCAAAGTTTAACCTAAAGGGGCTTTGTTAATATTTGAAATTTCTTTACAGCTGTAACACAGAAGTGCAATTAAAACCCCCTTCCCCATTTCCCCTTAAATCTTCAGTCATTTGCTGTCACTTGTGTAATTAAAAATGGTCCATTTTAAGTTACGTTTGCAGAGAAACTTTCATTGGGGTACTGTTTTCCAGTTAAACAGAAAAACATGCACACCTCACTCCCACAACCTGTTGTTAGGCAGAGAACAGCAAATTTAAAAAAAGTCTGGTGCATATTGTTATTAATTCCTAGAGCAATTTTTAGATTTCCATTTTTTAAGGAACTTGTCTAAACAAGTCATTTTACAAAATAGGTGTAGTGATGGTTCCAAAACCCATATATAAATATAACAGAATGAATTGTTGCCACGATCACTGAAAATAAATGTGGACTTTATACAGAAAGGGAAATTAAACAGAAAATGAAGTGTGTATTTAAAAACAACTGAGATTACAAACCCATATTAGTATATACTGGGAACGTTAAAATACCAGCCTTTAAAAATCTAAACATGAGCTGTTTGCAAGATCCCAAACTACTAGCACAATAACCATAAACTTTTTATTTTTACACAAAATAATCTGAAAAATGCATTTGTCCATTTGATATTATTTACACTTAAAATAATACAATATCTGATTCCCCTAATACAAAATGCTAGTTGTCAGATGAGATGAAGATCCAGTTTAGACTGAGCTACATTTGATGACAGCTTTCAAATACCTGAACGGTGATTATAGAGAGAACAGAAATAGGCTTTTCTCAGTGACTACAGGGGAAAGGATTAGGAGTAACAGCCACAAGCTGCAGCAGGGGAAATTTAGGCTGGAGATTAGGAGGAACTGAGTATGAGAATGGTCAGGCATTGGAATGGACTACCTAGAAAAGTTGTGGATTCTCCACACTTGGGAATTTTCAAAAGAAGGTTGGACAGACACTTGGCTGGGATGATCCTGCCTTGAGCAGGGAGCTGGATGAGATGAACCTTCCAGCCCTACTTTCCTATGATCCTACTTTTTAAAGTATTTTTGCCAAATAGTTTTAAGGATCTGCATGGGTGAATCTAGGATTTTGAAAAGGGGGAGGGGGTGCAGGTGGTATGATACATCATCACAGAACACTACACTTATTTTTGCCAATTAAAAAGAAACTAAAATGTTATTAATATACAGACAGTCCTTATGTTTTGAGTTATGATGTTTTGCAGCTTATGATCTAAGTGATCGCAGCTGTGCCGTATGTGGCGCCACAGACATGCCTGCAGCACCACATACTGTACATTCAGTTGTTCTCTGTGCTTCAAGAGAGCAGCGTGTGAGGGTGGGGGGGTGACCCCTGGATATCCAGGGGTTAAAAAATTCCAGGGGGGTGGGGAGAGTGGAGCAGCGCATATGGGGGCAGCGTGTGCCACTCAAAACCAGAGTCTGGCTGGCCAGAGCCACACTCCACTGCCAGCCAGGCTCTGCACAGCAGGATCGCTGCTACTGCAGCCCCAGGAGGTTCCCAGGACCCCAGGTAAGGCTGGGGGACTCCCCTAATCCACCTAGGGAAATTTGCCACATGCCAGAAGGCACACGGCACAGAAATTCCCATGGACAACTAGCGGTGGCACATGGTGTGCCACCGCTAGTTGTCTCTGGGAACCAAACATTCACACACATGCGGACACAGCCAGTGGAGCAGCAAGCTCCACAGTGGAGGAGATGGACAGCATAGCTCAGCTTCCTGCTGCCAATCCCTTGTGAGATCATACTATCGCAGGTCAGATCTGGCCTTTAGGCCACAGGTTGTCAACACCTGCCTTAGAGAGTGATTGGTTTGGAGAGGTATGAATTTTTGTAGGCAACCACCTCCTTTTTCAGCTGCTATGAAAAGAACTGGCAGAAAGAAAGGGTTTTATAGAGAAGGGAAAAGGGGGAGGAGACATTGCTAAGAGGTGGGTTGACAGGATCATATTAGATGAACGAGGCAGTTAACACCTTGTGGGACACTGAAGTTAATAGTAATGAAATAATCCATAGTCCCTATTGAGACCATGGTTAAACACAAGCCCATCTGTGGAAGATTTCTTGTTCTGCAAATCTGCATTCAAGTTGGGTTTTACAAATCTTTTGTTCAAGACAGCTACTCTGGAGTCAGTAGGGGAATGTCTAGGGTGGTTAAGTGCCACAGGCTTTTATGTGTCTGTAGAACTGATGTAAAATCCATGTCCATATATTCTTCTACATAGGGACTGTCCCATCTGACCCATGTAGACAGCAATCAAAAAATCCATGTCAAATGCACAAGACAGGTTAAATTCCAACCCAAGATTTAACTGCTTACATTCATATGAAATGCTGCCAATCTTTGGAAACCTCTTTTAGAATTTATATGGTGGCCATCTGGTTATAAATCCCAACCAAAGAATTTTACCAGAGACGCTCAAAACTCCCATCTAAGGTTGTTTAATGGCTTACTATACAGAAACTAAATTCTTTAGTGTTTAAGTTACAAGCTGAAAGTCAGTTAAAAAACTTCCTCCTCAGAAGTCTTATACAGTGGTTCGTATTTTCTGCCCACCCCAGCAGAGATGCAATGTTTCACAGAACATTTTGATAAGCAAAAGTTTGACCACTCGTATTTACCAGAAATTACAGATGACAATTTCTAGTCTCTCATGATTTTTGAGCAAAAAGCAAGCTCTAACCTTTAATGATGGAAAAATCTATTATACCACCTATGGCAAGTAGCTTTCGTGGTCAATTACTCTATTAAAAATACGTGTCTTATTTTTTTTTAAGTTTGATTCATCTAGCATCAACTTCCAGCTATATTTATACATTTGTCAGTACGACTGAAGCACACTTATCAAAGTTTCATTCTCACTGCAGGTACTTACACTGATCAAATCACTCCAACTTTCATTTGGCTAATCTACATGGCAAATCTCCAGGAATCCATGTAATGAGATATATTTGCCAATCCCTTCATCATTTTTACAGTGTTTCTCTGAAACCACTCTACTTTATCAACTTCTTTTCTGAACTGTGCACACCATGACTAGATTAAATATTCGAGCAGGAGATGCACCCATTTAAAAAACAGAAGCAATATAACCTTCTACTCCTGCTCCAAATTCTGTCAATACATTCAGGAACGTATCAGTCCTTCTAGGCATGGTGGTTTACTTATTCAGCTGCTTATTCACTATGATCCCATGTCTCTCTCAGTCTCCTACACTGCAAGTATGGCCTATACCCTTTGTTCCTGGATATCTAACTTTACATTGGGCTACATAAAAATCCATACTGTTTACTTGCACCAACTTAGTAGACACGAAATTATTTTGTACCTGCGACTTATTATTGTTACTGCCACATCTTTGTATCATCTGCAAACTTTATCAGTGATAATTTTGCATTTTCTTCCAGATCACTGGTTAGCATTAACTAGGACAGGGCCAAGAACCCCTGTAGAAACATGTTTAATGACAACTCCATGTTTACAAATACATCCTGGGATCTTGTTTTATCTGATAGTTAGCTGAGGGTATGATGGCTTCCTTCCTAGATCTTAGGAAGGGCACTTTGTGGCTGAAAGCTTGTCTAACATCTCTCCCAGCAATAGTTAGGCCCATAAAAAAATATCACCAATGCCACCCTTGCTTATAACATCTCTCAGTCAGCCTTTAATCTAATTTAAGGTATAATATTTTAATTAAAATATATAGAGTTGTATAGTGAAACAGACTGAATTTAGGACCTGTGCCTCATTTAATGCAGAAGTTAGGATGCAG